AAGAAATACATTACCGGCATAATTAAACAACATATGCCATATTCTACATATTGTAAATTGTCTTACTATTCACGGATAGTTTTATGTCCGCTCAACTATGTAAAAACTTTATTAACTCGTTAACCAAAAAAGAAATGTCACATTATCTTTACGGTATTAATAAAGAATTCTATTCTATTCTATTCTATTCTATATGAACAGATTTGAGTGTAAAACTAATAAGGTTTGCATAATTTAACAGACCATCTATGTATCAAGTCTCATTGAAATGTGATTAGAATAGAAAATATTGTGAATTATTATGCTAATTAAGATATTAATATGAACAGTTTTTAACTCAAAATTAATCAGGCCTGTCTATTGTCCTAGACCATTTGTGTACCAAGTTTTATTGAAATGTGGTGTTTGGTACTTATCAGTAAATATCAGTGGAAAAGCTGATTAATTATGCAAATTAAGTAATTAATAATCAATTTTACTCATTAGTTCAGAGCACATATGCACCAAGTTTCATCAAAAAACGATGTATGGTTCTTGAGATATCAGTGGAACAAGCGGACACACATACAGACACACTAACTGCAAAAACTCCCATTGACCGCCAGAATATACCTCCAAGCATGACAGATTTTACCCCAGGATTATTGCAGATACACCCCAAATCAGAAAGACATACCTCTAGATAAACAGAATATTTTCCTAAAACAAGAAAGATACATCTACAAATAAATGAGAACAGAATTTAAAACAGTAGACTTCATTTTATGCACAACAAATACATACCTTCCATTCCCGATCCAATATGGTAGGTCCACTGAGAGTGTGCTTACTTAGACTTTCTACATATTTATCAAATTTCTCAACTTCTTCTGTGAACCTTTCCAGAACCTCTTTGTTTTCATAAGGATCTGTCTTTGGGGTGACTGCTTGGTTAGGTTTCTCAATGGTTCGTAGGATGGGATCCTGTTGGATTGAGTTTGGAGCTAGAACGGGTGTCTGGTTTGATGAGTGGCCCGGTCCATCAGGGCTAGACGAGAGGAGATCTGTCTTTGGCTTTGGTACACTGTCTGCTTTGATAGGTTGGATTGAAGGTTGTGGTAGTTTTTCCTGCTCTTTTGCAAAGTCTGGAACAGACTGTGATTGCTGGTAGTAAGCACCTTGGTGAGGGAGTGGCTGTTGGAACTGCTGAGGCTGTTGAGGGTAGGTGTTTTGCTGAAGAGTTTGTGTACCACTTGGCTGATACGAGCTCTGTTGGGGTTGCCTGACATAACTTTGTTGTTGCTGGTATGCTGAATGAGTAGGGGACTGGTATTGTTGTGGCTGACCGTAATACTGCTGCTGTTGTTGTTGAGATGAAGATTGTTGTTGCAGAGCTGGCTGTTGAGATGAAGGTTGTTGTTGCAGAGCTGGTTGTTGAGATGAAGGTTGTTGTTGCAGAGCGGGTTGTTGAGATGAAGGTTGTTGTTGAAGTGGAGGCTGCTGTTGACCTGTGGATGCTGACCACTGCTGTGACTGGTCCCAATGCTGCTGGGGTTGTGATGTCTGTGGCCACTGTTGCTGAGGATGTGCTTGAGACTGCACTTGTCCTTGCTGAGGTTGTTGCCATTGTTGTTGCCCATAGGCTTGTGAGGTCATTGGTTGAGAGATATGCTGTGGCGAACCTTGTTGTGATGGCCTAACTATAGCCACTGGTTGAAATGGTCTGTGCTGAGGAGACTGCTGAGGCTGGGACTGGGGAACACCTTGTTGTGGGAAGCCAGGTGCCTGAGGCTGAGGCTGGGACTGAGGGAAACCTTGTTGTGGGAAGCTTTGTGTTTGAGACTGCTGAGGCTGGGACTGGGGAACACCTTGTTGTGGGAACAGGTGCCTGAGGCTGAGGCTGGGACTGAGGGAAACCTTGTTGTGGGAAGCCTTGTGTTTGAGGCTGCTGGGTTTGTGACTGGTGACCACCACCTTGTTGAGGGAAGCCACATGCCTGAGGCTGCTGAGTTTGGAACTGAGGGGTACCTTGTTGGGGGAATCCAGGTGCCTGAGGCTGCTGAGGCTGGAACTGAGAGACATTTTGTTGCGGGAAGCCAGATGCCTGAGGCTGCTGAGTTTGGAACTGAGGGGCACCTTGTTGGGGGAATCTTGATGCCTGAGGCTGCTGAGGCTGGGACTGAGAGACACTTTGTTGGGGGAATCCAGGTGCCTGAGGCTGCTGTATATTTTGTCTTTGATGTTGAAAACCTGCATGGTGTTCTGGCATCATGGGTCCTGAAGGTTGTTGTGGCACAGGTCTGTGAGGGGGTTGTTGCACTGTATATCTTTGCTGTTGTGTATGTTTCCCAGATCCTTGTTGCAACGCAGGGTCATGTGATGGTTGTTGCAACACAGTTCCTTGTGGAGTATGGTGTAAAACAGGACCTTGCTGTGGTTGTTGTGACATGGATCCTTGTTGCGGGTGCTGTAATGCAGAACCTTGTGGATTTTGTTGAAACACAGGACCTTGTGGTTGCTGAAGTGTCTGCCCCTCTGTAGATCCTTGATGTGGTGGAATCCTGCCAGGCAACTGAGAATAGTTCTGTAGTTCTTGTGGTTGCTGGAATCTTGCTTGGTGGGGATCATAACTTGGCTGTTGATTAAAAACTGTGTTGACTGGGTGTTGATTACTTGCAGATTGAGACTGAGAATAATGTTTAGATGATTGTGGCTGGTTACTGTATTGTTGGGATTGAGATTGGGGTACAACATCAGGCTTTGGTACATTTGTTTGTTGCTGCTGAGTTTGCTGATTGAATGATTGTGGACCGGGTGGCTGTTGCCACTGCATTCCTTGTGGATATGACTGTTGTTGCCATGATTGTCCACCAGACTGTTGTGGTGTAGAACCAGCTGGGTGTCCCTGCGACCCATGGTCATGTCCTGAATGCTGTTGAGACCCAGAGTGTTGCTGCTTTGGAGTAGAGATCGGTGTCTGTAAACTGTTAACAGTGTCAGAGCTTTGAGGATAGACCTGATATGCATTTGATGAATTCACACCAGATGATTGGCTATTGGCACCAATTGACTGGTTACCTGGATATATATTCTGTGAAGTCAAAGGTGGCGTACCAGACCTCACAGCATCTGGAGCAATTGGCTGATTGAACACAGGGTGTCCAGGCAATGATGCACTCTGGGTCGGCAACCCTTGTGTAGAACTTGCAGGAATATTCCGTTGATCAGGTGGACAATTAGGAGGCATGGCAGCCTGTGGAAATTTTTGATGAGGAGGGTAGCTAGTTTGACCAGGAGTATTTGCTGAATAACTTTGGGTTGAATAAACAGGCTGGTTGGAGGTCAGAGGCTCTTGTTGAGGAACAGGTGGGGTACTGGACCTTGATACCTCAGCAGGAAACCCTTTTGCTGCTGGATGGGAAAACTCTACTTGATTCGGATTAGAGGTCACAGTAGAACTGAAGCCTGACAGGTTTTGATCAGAAGGTTGTTGCCTTGCATAGCTTGTATTGGGAGTATAGTTTTGTGGAATATGACCAGGAACTTGGGGAACTGAATGCTGATGATGTGTTGGGAAATGTTGAGGACTGGAATCTAAACTGCTTGGTTGAGATTCTCCTTGGGAGTGAGGCACCTCAACAGCACTATGAGCAGTTGCAGAAGGATATCTTGAAGAAGGTGCAGCATAGGACACTGGAGGGGGGACTCCCTGTTGAGATGAGAATCCAGGTGCAGCTGATGATGGTATTTGTCCGGATGATGGCATCTTGTGTGCTCCTGGCATGCCTCCTGGAAGTGGCTGACCAACACTAGAAGGTGGAACTTGTGCTCCTGGTGCAGGTATCATCTGGTTAGGCATTCCAGGTACAGCAGATTGTCCAGCAACGAAGTGAGGTGGAACTCCAAGTGGAAAAGTTTGACTATCCATTGATTGTCCGGAATCTGTGGAATACAATCCCCCTTGTTGGATTCCTGGTAACATTCCTACTGATTCTCCCACACCACCTTTAGCATATAATGATCCGTCAGCTAGAGCAGCTTGTATGTTGCCTTTTCCAAGCATTGATGGATCAATAAGATCAGAAAGTTTTAGACCGGTTTGTTGTTTGCCAGTCACAGGACGACTTGGTTCAGATGCTGGTTTTGGAGCACTGGGTCTGGGTGGAGCTGATAGAGAACAAAAAGAGAAATATGTCAGTTATATCAAATTTTTGTTGATTGCAGAGTGGTTTTATGTTCAATTTTTTGTTTGTCTGAATTAAGGATTCTGAGATATGACTCCGGACGGACACACGGACGGACGGACGGGGACCGAATTATAAGTCCCCGTTTTCGGACTTCGTCCGAACAGAGACTAAAAACAGTGTTATTATTTTCTTACTGTGATGCACAAAGTAAAATTTAATACCATGGGCTTATTTGTTTATACCACAATCTACTACTGACAGAATAAAATTTAATCTCTGGTTAAAAGTTCTTTATAATTAGCACCACAAATAACTCCTAACCCTGCTCCTCCTGTGCCCCTTCCCCTCCCTGAAGGGGCATATACAAATACATTTGGAGAGCTGGAGTGTATGGGTTATGATTCAGGTTCAGGGTGGGAGGGACCTTGTGGAACTCTTTTCCGTTTCTGCCCTACTCAAATCAACTTCACCCACCTTTTTTTGGAATTTTACTCAAAAAATGTTGCCTTTCTTCTTCATGAACTTTAGTGACTCCTTTTGTTCTTTGGAGTAACTTAGCAACCCCAGCTTCTAGTTTCTTATAGAATTCAATCCCCTTGCCAGATTTCTGTAGTAAGTCGTCATAGGCATCATAAGACGTTACCAGAGACTGCACCATGTCTTCTCTCCTGCAACAAAAATAACACAAACACTATAAAACTAATATTTTTCCAACAATACTTTTTCTCCAATTCCCATTTTAATTCCTCGCCAAATTTTTCAAACAGGTTTTAGCAAAGTTCATGAATAAATTTTAAATAGTTCTTAAGCGAGAGAGTCGTCACCTGCGCAAACATGTGTCTACCCATAAGCCTTTGCATTTTAGCATGTGTTGTTATCATTGCTTGGTACTCAATTCCCCCATGAGCACAGGTGTAGATCCCTCCGCTTTAACATTACATTTTACATGTAGTAATAGAAACGATATAATGAGGCTGGCCATTTTATTCATAACTTCAGTTAGTCTAAAAACTGAAACAATCCACTGTGTCATGTTTTAGGGCATGTACTGGAAAATACAAATATAATTTGGGAAGAAAAGTTGAGAAAAAAGCTTTATCATGAGAAATAAAAGCAATAAATACCTAAGGTACCGGGGTATGTATTATGGCTGGTGGAATATTCTATTATGTAAAAATAGGGGTGCAAGCATAGACTTACTTTTGTTCCACCTCACTAGATATTTTTCTTGTACTTGCATACAATGCGTTATCTCTGTCACAGCTTTGAGTATATTGTCCTGTGCATTCAAGTTCTGCTGTATGTAGGATACTACAGTCTCATGTTTTTTCATTTCCTCTTTAAATAATTCCTGAAGGTAAGAGAAAAATTGTAGAATATATTGAGTACATGTATCAGTGAAACAAAATCTAAACCAAACTTTTTGAGTCCCTTCTCCAGATGCTTACAAATGACTAGAACCCCTGTGCAAAGTAGTGTAAACAGAAAATAATCTTTCTCTATAGAGAATATATAATATAATTCAAATTATAAACTACATGTACAGTCTACAGTTTTTAAGATATTGATACGATGTGTTGTGACAGTCAGGTTATGTTGTGTATTAATGGTATCATTTGTGTACTAACAGTCATGTTACGTGGTGTAACAACAGTCATGTTACGTGGTGTAACAACAGTCAGGTTACGTGGTGTAACAACAGTCATGTTACGTGGTGTAACAACAGTCAGGTTACGTAGTGTAACAACAGTCATGTTACGTGGTGTAACAACAGTCAGGTTATGTGGTGTAACATCAGTCAGGTTACATGGTGTTACAACAGTCATGTTATGTGGTGTAACAACAGTCAGGTTACGTGGTGTAACAACAGTCAT